ATAGCTAAAGGCTACATAACAAGCAACAATGCCAGATAGGAGATACTTTCTTTTGAGTTGTTAGCCAGGGTGGCCCAAGGGACTCCCAGATAGTAACCCAGCATAGAACTGGGAAAATGAACAGCAGGTCCCAATCTTATCTAAAGGAATACTGACAACTGATTGCTGCTAGGTGAAGAACAGCTAACCTTCCTAAAACAAAGACCTCTAGATAGGCTGACTAGATTCACCAGATGGACAAGTAGTGGGGAATGGCTGGGGGGGGGCAGGCAACACAGCAGACAGTAGCAGGGATATCAGAGCATAAGGGCTCTAGTGGGCGGAGGGAAACTATGGGAGGGTGCCATCTGAGAAGGGGTGTATAGTTTAATAAGATGGTTTGGGATGTTCTGTGTGATACACACACACACACAAATCAACAAATTTTTTAAAATGTATTATATTTGAGGAGGAAGCATGGAAATTTACGTCAATTTGCTTCATGTTAATTAGTAGATGTGAAAAACATTACCATTGAAATCTACCTGATGACTTTATATCCATGCTCAGGTGCGAGATCTCAGAAAATAACCAACTGTGGCTAGTAATAATCAGATATATATAGATTAGAGATGCATGTGTGAACATTTAAGTGTTAGTTGCATTAACAATGAGTTTTTCCTGTATGAAATAATATATTTTAAAATGAAATGGAGATCTTTTTTAAAGGTCAAAACTTCCTTCAATTTTATGTCTTATAGTGTTTATACTGATTTCAATATTGTATAACTGAGCACACCCCAATCTTAACCTAAAAATTACAGCCACCTTTGAAAGAGATATACTCTTCCTCTGGAGTGTGTTACTGAATATCTTGACAGCTGTAATGAAATGCTTCTTCTAATCATATAGTTATTAAAAATTAAAAAAATAATGATTAAAAAAAGAGAGAACGAAAGACTCTAAATGCTGAAGAGGATGTAGAGATATAGGAACACTCACTCCCTGCTGGTGGGAATGCAAACTTGTGAAACCACTGTGAAAGCAGTGTGGAGAACTCTCCAGAAACTAAAAATGAGCCTACCATATGATCCAGTGATACCACTCCTTGGCATGTACTCAAAGGACTCATTCTATTGTAGAGATTCCTGTATATCCATGTTTGTTGCTGCTCTCTTCACAACGGCTAATCAATGGAAACAACCTAAATGTCCCTCGATTGACAAATGGGTAATTAAAAAGTGGTACATCTACACAATGGAGTTCTACTCAGCCATAAGAAAAGATGAAATTATGAAATTTGCAGGTAAATGCATGAAACCAGAGAGTGTTATACTAAGTAACACAAATGCAGAAAATAAAGTGACTTATGTCCTCCCTCATTTTCCGATTGTAACACCAACCCCTTTTATGTGAGTATATATATTGTGATGTAACACCAGGAACCAGGAAAATGGAAAAGTTATATGGATGTAAAGGAAAAGAAAGAACCTGTGTGGGGGATAGTAGGGAATCGATGTCACCAGTGGGGAGGTGGTGAAAGTGGGAGTGTTCGGCAGGGAGGAGAGGTGGGAGGTACACGTAAGGGGCCATGTTCTGTTGGGGGAGGGAGGTCAGAAGAGGGAGGATGGTGGGAAGTGGGTGTTATTGGAGGAAGAGTGGGGAGAATTATGGCTGGGACTAGGGAGGGAGGAGGGATAACAGATGGGAGAAAAAAGGGTAGAGATGATTGAATCTTGGGAGGCTAGAAAACCTAGAGGAAAATACGATGCCCTCGGAAACCAGATAAGAAATGCACATACAATGTCTGAACATTAGTGCATATAACTGCTTGGCAAGGAACACAGTACCAGACAGAAGAGACCTCCCTTTGAGTGGTTGGTGAGGATGGTCCAGGAGACTCCCAAAATAACACAAGCCTCTTGGTTGTCTCCCAGAACTAGTAGAGAAGACCCTAGTGCTGAAGACAGGACATACTTTGGGTACAAGGTTTGCAGCAATAGAGTAGGAATGACCTGGAAGCCGTCTACTCAAAGTTCGACTATCATAACGCTAGACAATGATATGCAACCTGCCAAGGGAGAAAAACAATCAATGGTCCAACCCAGCCCTAAAGCCTAATAACCATAATGACTGGCATGGCTAACTACTTCTACTGGGGCAGTAGTGGCACTGTTATCTGGGGGGCAATCAACAACTATCTGATTGGAATTAAAGCCCTCTCAGTGAGAGAGAACTCATGGGTGGAGCTATAAACTCAGCCAAATACACATGGCAGGAGAGGACATAAAGCCTAGAGAAAACCCTATCTCTTCCATTATCTCTAGACAAATGAATTTTCTTACTATATACTAAATATTGATCCTTATATTTACAGACAAGCATACGGTACACCACTCATCAAAGAAGCTTGTTTTTGAAACAGATGGAGGCTACTGCAGAATTGCACAACTGATATGCCACAGAGAATATTCGTCGGAACAATGCCCAGTACTAGGGGACACATCTACAGTTGAACTTCTACAACTAAGGCTCATGGAACACAGAGGAACAAGGGCTAGACTGGAAACTAATGCATCCCTCAACTCTCACCAGTCAAGCTTCCTTATACAACAGAGTGTGATGAACACAGAAGGTCACAACTGGCCAACTTTTAAAGAATAGAGACTGCAGAGTGTAGGCTAGGCCTCTATATGGAGCCTCATCCACCCACAGCTCAGGGACCATTGCAGAAGAGGGGGTGGAAAGACTGTAAGAGCCAGGGCTGGTTCATGAACACAGGGAGGCAGAGGCTTTCAGGCAACTGGAAGCCTGCATATGTGAAGTTGTGACAATGGTGGTGTCAAGCACAGGACCCATGCCAACTCAATTAAATATTGAACCAGAGTGGAGGAGAGAAATGTGTGGTGAGAAGGAACTAGATTGAGAACTTTTAGAGACTAATTGCTGCTGGGCGAGGGAGAGTGTGCCTTACATACCATCCCTAGATGAGCTGACTAGACACAGTTTCACTAATTTACACTGAAGGACATTTGGGTACAAATGCCTGAATGGGTAAGACTTATCATGTATTTCAGAATATGTGAGGTCTGGTAGGGGGACAGGAGAGACATGGTGTTGTAAATTTTATTTAGAATAGTTGTATAAAACTACAAAAGCTCAATTAAATAATTATCATAAATTTTTTTTTAACTTTTACAAAATCTTTAGTGAGAGTTTTATACATGAATATCAGGTGTTTTGATCAAATCCATGCCTACTCCCTCCCTTCCAATACCTCCCATATCTCCCCATCACTTTTTCTTCTTCTTTTCTTTTTTTCTTCTTTCATTTATTTTTATGGGCTTTGGGTACTCTAACATTCCCCCCTCTGAAGAGGTAACCCTAAAATCTTTTAAGGATTAGATACAAGCTCCCAAATACTTGTGACATTTTTGTCCTTTGGAGGAGAGTATGTTGCTAACAGTCCCAAGGATATTTTGACTTTGAGCCAAGAAACTGGCTACTTTTCTTTAGTGTCTTTTTACCCTAACTGCCTAGCCAATTCCTACCTCCTATTCTTACCACACCATTCTCTGAAGGGGTTACCCAAATTGCCAATAGGGAATAGGGACACAGGCCACTCTGGATTCTTCCATGCTGAACAGGGACACGAGGTGAGCAACTGGAGTACCCTTCAGTGTGTCTATCTAAAAGACTCCCAAAGTGCATAACTCTTATCTCTAAGGGGAGAAGAAAGTCCTTGACTGGTGAATGGGAGATGTGAAGGAGAACTAAAGGCAAGAGTAATTAGCATTACAAGTTCTAGACAGGGAACTAGAAAAAAGTCAGAACAGGGCAATGTCCAAAGGAGACACCAGTCCTTTGCCTTCATGCCCATGGTCTTTCCCTCAGATGCTGTTTCTTTAACAGAGCAGAGATCAGACTCTGGTGGAATGGTGTGATGTCACAGATGCCTTCAGAATGTTTGATCTCAAACTCTTAGTTACAGCCAGTGCTCTCCTCATAACTGTGAGGCTGAGCTCTGGGCACGTGTGAGAGGGGCTTTGAGGGCCTCGATCCTGAGAGAGCCAAGCAGGTGCTCACAGAGGGTAAGTGTCACCCAGTGTTACACTACACTAAATGTCAGACCCTGAACTGTGTTCCTTCAAAGACTCGGGAGTGTATCCGGTACCCCAGGGCATCTCTAGAAAAATAAATAGAGATACAGCAAAATTTAAAATAGGTTTTGGTTGAGTGATAGAAGAGAATAGGAGGGAATTTGGGCTAAATACAGAATAAAGTTTAAAAAATAAAAGAAAGGAGAGCATCAAGGGGAAACTTGGTCACCAATGACTACCTTCAGACAGAGCAACAGGGACATGGTGTGGGCCACTCTGGTCAGATTTTTTACTACACTTAATTATGTGAGAGTTTACAGCACTGCAAAGAGCCATAATGACAAAGAAAACAAGAAGCACAAAAGGTGATCCAGGCTGACTCTTGGAAAAGAGATGGAAGCTCACCAGTCACTTTCCAAAACTCATAGTGGTCTAAACAAAGAAAGGGAGAAACCCCAGACATGTTCAAGATTTAAAACCTCCTTACCTCACCGATCACAAGGACTAAGTGAGATGGTGGTTCTGCACAGATCAACATCTCCTTTAATAAGGAATCAAGAAGTGCTGGGGATAGAGCTACATGGCAGAGCACTTCCTTAGCATGGGTGAGGTCCTAGGTTCATTTCCCACCAACTGGGAAAATAATTTAGCTACCTCTATTGCACTTTTAGTTACTCTTTTGTTTTAAACGAAGGGAAACAGAGATATCCTGGTTGGAATTCCATCTTTAACCTGTTCTAAGACAACCGAGAGTAGACGGGATTCCCCTGACGTCTACAGCAATTGCATCAGAGATGGAGCAGGAATATCAGAACCTAAGGAAGAAGGGTAAGGAAAGGGGATCCAGGGAAAGGGAGTCAGGTGTGTGTGCCCCTAGTCCTCGTGACCCCTGGTCTCCAGGTGAATGAAGGATGGAACAGGATGATCACCACACCTAGTCTCTTACTATTTCTCAAGTATCCTGAATCAGGCTCTAAAGGCACATGGCAAGGGGTATCCTGGTGAGAAGTTCACTTCTGCAGCTATGACAGAATGGGAACCAACACATTCATTTGTCTCTACAGAGGTGTCCCACATGCAGAACAGCCCAGGGAAAGAGGTACCAGAGAGCAGCCTCTGCTTGGCAAAAAAAGGTAGAGTAACTCCATTCCTAGACTGCTTTGTAGACAGGAGCAGAGGGGGTGGATGAGGGCCGTTCTTCTCAGATGTCTTCACATGACACATGAGAATTATTCACAACATGGGGGATGGAGAGATGGTTCAGTGGTTAAGAGAACTGACTGCTCTTGCAGAGGACACTGGTTCCATTCCCAACACCCAGATGGCAGCTAACAACTGTCTATAACTCTAGTTCCAGGGGAATTCAACACGCAAAATAAAAATAATAAGTATTTTTTAAAATATTCAGACATGTGAGAAGGGAAAGAGACCAGACGGCCCAAGCTCACTACTCAGGTGGGTCCATCCCATGGTCATGCACATGGGGCCTTCCCTCCCTGCAGCCCTACAGGCCAGCAGCCCTGCTACTCAGACGTATGAAGGGAAAGAGGCCACAAGGTCCAAGCTCACTACTCAGGTAGGTCCGTCCCATGGTCATGCACACGGGGCCTTCTCTCCCTGCAGTCCCACAGGCCACTAGCTCTGCTACCTCTAGTGCTGCCCCTGCTGTGGTCATACCTGAGAAGAGATACAAGAGAAAGAGGGTCCAGAAGGAAGACAACTCAGTGGATGTCAAGGCATCCTCCACCGCCCTCAAATTTCATGTCCAATTCCAGGGGAATTTAACACACAAAGTAAAAATAGTAAATATTTTTTGAAATATTCAGACATGTGAGAAGGGAAAGAGGCCAGACGGCCCAAGCTCACTACTCAGGTGGGTCCATCCCACGGTGAGCCTTCTCTCCTTGCAGCTCCACAGGCCAGCAGCTCTGCTACCTCTAGTGCTGCCCCTGCTGTGGTCATACCTGAGAAGAGATGCAAGAGAAAGAGGGCCCAGAAGGAAGACAACTCTGTGGACGTCAAGGCAGGTATGCATCCTTCACAACCCTCAACTTTCTTGTCACTGCGGGAAGACCAGTTACAGTTGAGTAGATACTTGTCACCACGTCCTCATAAAGTGCCGTCTAAATTCCAGAGGAGTGGCCGAGAAGTGCCCTGATGGGCCGCATCCATGCTCACTGGGCTTTTGTTCTTGCAGCTTCCCAGGAGAGCAGTCTTCCTGCCTCCAGCACAACCACTGAAGCTGCTTCAGAGCTGCAGTTCTGCAGGAGGACACGCAAAAGGAGCATATGGACTGTGGATCACATTGAAGGGATGAAACTTAGAATCAGCAAGAAGAAAAGACCCAGTTGCCATCCTCAGGAGCAAGAAGCCTTCTACCAACTTCTGGGTGGGTTTTCTGAGTTGAGAAAATGCACAGGACCAATTCTAAAAGACTGAACATGTGAGGGGTCAGATCTTAGCCCAGGGTTCAGTGAAGCCCAGGTGGACTAGATGTAGGGTGCCCCGGTTCTGCAGACATGTGAGGAGTTTCCTTTCTGAGCTGGGATGTTGGAGAGCAAAAGAGAGGCTTACAAATAAATACGGGTCCCCTACATACACACAGGCTCTCTCTCTATATATATCACACACACACACACACACACACACACACATACACATTCATTATTCCCCCTATAAAGATACTAGGGACTGATGATAAGGGACAAATCACCCCTTGCTCAACTGATGCTCTAGCAGAGAGCTACACACACACACAAAAAAAACCATATTTACACAATGAAGTGGCCCTCTGCTTATAACTGGATAGGACAAGAAGATCTGGGGTCCATGGCACTTAGAGGTGGGTGTGAGTGAATGCAGGAGAGCATCATGAAATGGGTGAATCACAGAAATTTTGTCTGAGGTGAAAACAGCCTACCTAGAGCTGGGACCACGTATGGCTGGGTGGGGAAACAGGCAGGTCACACTACTAAGTATAGCATCCACTAACTACATGCAGCTATTTACTCTTAATTTTAAATGAATTAAGCAAACGTTCTAAGTTCAGTTCCTCAGTTTCATTACTTGCGTTTCCAAGGTTCAATACCTACAGGAGACGGTGCCTACCATATTACACAGCAGAGGAACAGAACTTCTTAACTACTAGAGCAAGTTCTATTAGACATTGTCCTTCTGAGGGCAGGGAGACTGGAGAAGAGGGTGTTGCCATTTTTCTGGGAAAGTGGTGAAGGACACTCAGAACCCCACATTCTCAGGTCTTCCCCAGAAAATGGTGCCTCCAGGGAAGAACCCTACCTACAGATGAGGTCCGTGGGGAAGAGGAAGCCTGTCATTACTCAGGGAGAAAATGGATGAAGAGATGCTGTGGGGTCAGGGAACTATGAACTCTACACCTTTGCCCAAGAGATTTAGTCCCAACATGGTGAAGTGATGGCTTGTGTGATCATGAAGACCTAAGGCCACGTCCATGTTTTTGATTTGAGTAGAATTTCTTGCACATTCAAAGGCAAGTTAAATCTGTTTGGTAGGGAAAAAAAAAGTGTGGCCATGTTGAAGAATCAGTTAACAGAAAAATTCAACATGCAAAATATCACGTGTGCACCAATGAAAGAAACAACCTTCATTCCTGACAGTAAGGTTTAGACCTTCCTGGAGGGAGGAACCTGCTTCCTCTCAGGGACCAGCTCAGGTAGAAAGACGGGAGGTCACCCATTCCTTCCAAAGAATCCCTGAAGATGGAAGCCCACACTGCACACTCAGCCCACCAGACAGACCATCCAAGCCACCTCACTCTTCCTTTCTTTGCAGAAGACCCTGTGATCAAGAGCTTCTTGGCAGCTGACCTCTTCTTCAGTGTGACTGACAAGGTACCTGCAGCAACAGATGGTCTCCAGAGTCACAGCCCCCAGGGAAAAGAATAGAGATGTATCAGGCCAAGAAAAGCCTTGCAGGACTCTGTTCAAGGGTAGACAATGGGAGATCTACTGTCCATTCTTTATTGACCACCGCCCCAAAAACCACTCCTTCCTGGTGTTCCTATCAGGTCATGCCCACAGGCAAATGGATGTGGATCCATAGCAAATATTCTGTGTATCTTTGGGGGTGTGGTTATTGGATGAAGGTCTCAGGGATGATTAAGATTACTTACCCTCTGCCCACTGCCCAAACTCTGGCTCACCAGCCGTCTGTCTCCACACAGTATCTTCTGTCCATGGTGGTGGAGTACTTCGGCCGAGTAATGATGCCTGGACACCTCTACAACAGGATCCTCTTCTTCCTGGCCCTGTGAGCACCTTCTTGGGGAACAGCTCACAATCTGTCCAAACCCTACTCCTATGCTTCCATCATTTCATCACAACCATTCTGGGTCTGAGTGGTGACTCTCAACTACAGAGTGGTTGAAAACTTCAAGGGGAAAGGTGATAGAGGGAGGAGAAAATCGGTCCTGTGATGATAACAGTCATTGAGAAACACCACTAGCCCCCCCACAGACTGAGTCACCTGAGTGAAGAAGCCCCTGGGAAACAATAGTGAGTTCCTTTTATTTCCCTGGACTGAGCACAGAATGGACACTGCAGGCTCAGTGTCAAGGATGCCCCAAGCCTGTAGGTTCAGGTCACACTGCAGAGACTGCTTCCCCACACCCTGTCTCTTGGTCACATACTTCCACCACTGTAACCTCTCCCACTTGCCCTGCATGAGTCTGGGAGTTGTGATTAGGGACAGGCACACTCCCCACTCCGTCCCTCTGGCAGCTACATCGCATGTGACATGGAAGAGGATGACCCCATATCCAAAAGAAGCATCTTCCCATTCTTGCTGGGCATGGACACCTGGAAAAACTTGTACAAGGACTTCCTGAAGCTGCAGCAGGAATTCTTACAAGCCATTGATTACAGAGTCTGGGTCACAAAAGAGGTGTGTGAGGAGGTATGTCAGGTGATAAGCAGGGAAGTGGTCGAGTAGGAGATAAGGGAGAGGAGCAGTGGTGGGGCTCATCCTCCAGGGATCACCCCTCATTTTCCTTTTCAGATCCAGAACCAGAGCCCACACCACTGGGTGTGGAGCCGGGTGCACCAGAGCACCCGGTTTTAGGTTCCCAGGCCTGGGAACCATCAGCGGGGACGTGGAGCATGGGACTGCATTGGTCCAGGTGTGTTGAGGTCCTGACCTGGGGCTTCACATGGGTCGGAGTGTCCTATCCTCTGGTTCCCTGAAGCCACAAGGTGGGCTGTATGGACACAGTACGAAGCTCTGCTGTCTCTTGCACTGATATTTCCTCTTCTACAGGAACATAGTGAATTTTACGGGCACTATTGAGGTAAAGAAAGTGTTTTGGTCACAATTTTCTGATTGAATTCATCACAGGACCATGTTGTTTGAAACACAAAGTTTCAATTTATATGTCCCTTTTTGTTGTTAAGAAAAAAATTCAGCCTGGCTTCGTGGCCCACACCTTTAATCCCAACACTCAGGAGGCAGCAGGAAGCAGATCTCTGTGACTTCAAGGCCAGCCTGATCTACATAGGGGTTCCAGGCAAGCTGAGGCTACAGGGATATCCTGTCTCAAAAATACCAAAAAAGAAAAAGATCTCAAAAATAACAGCTTCTGCAGTTTGATATCAGGTGACATTTTTAATGTCATGGATGTCATCCTTTCTGTTTAAGAGACTGATATCTCGTAGCCCTCAGAGGGAAGAATATAAACTTCAACATTTGCTTCTAGCAAGTTTCAGTGAGCTGTATCCTTGGAGGACTTGATCAGGGTCTAATTTTCCATAGGTAAAAGGAATCCCCAGGGTCCCTGGCCTCTGATACAGTGAGACTGCTGGGAACATAAGGAGCAAGGGCACAGAGCACTAGGCAAAGACTCAATGCACAGTACACTAATAGAAAACCACCGCCCGTCTACCATCGCACTCCAATATGTGCTTTTTTTGGTTGAAATTTCCTTCTGTAATTGGACATACTTCAATTAAGGAAAGATCTCTAATGAAATACTTAAGAATTTCTTGCCTGGGCAAATGGTTGTGCTAAAACAATCCTGTAAGTGTTCTGCCATGCTGTAGGGTATGATGAGCCTTGTCTATTCTGGGGAAAAAGGAGACTTGGGGAAAGATGAATTCAGAACTATGTCTTACAGGATGGGCTCAGTTTGAAAGAAGGTATAATTCAACTGCAGGGGTTTTGCTGGATACACACACACCCACACAAAGAGAGAGAGAGTGAGAGAGAGAGAGAGAGAGAGGATATAGATGATAGATAGATACATACATACATATATACATACACACATACACACATAGAGAGCTGGATACACACACACACACACACACACACACACACACACACACACGTGTATATATATCAGGAATTTCAAGAGTTCCAAACAAGTAGCAGAAGTCACCGCCCCTCAGGTTTTGTCACTGCTGATCTTCCATAGTGATTTTCTATCAGAGAACCTTGTGTTGTGATAGGGGGTTTGCCTTCCACTAACTCTAATGGCATTTTCCTGCTCTCCTTGTAGCCCCTGCCCACTTCACGCCATTGCCCCCTCCCCAGCAAGAAGCCAGTGCCTTTCCCCCAAGCTGCAGGCAGCTGCAGAAAGGCATCGTCCATCCAGCCCTGGCTTCACCTCACACCTTCAGGATGGAGAGTCCAGCAAGAACATGGAACCAAAGACGCCAATTAATCACTATTTCTAGGGCTCACATGGGTGCCAGCCAACCAACAAAGATCACCCAGGGCCTCTGGGTATCCTGGGTTAAGAATCCTGCAGTAAGTCAGAAATACAACCAGAGAAACCAAAACCTCCAGAGACTGAGGATGGAAAGGTGAATGATGTAACAGAGACTTCAGAAAGAGTCCTGAACCAGAGAAAGACCTTAAGAGAGAAACCAATTCAACCCCTGGGATTTGGCAAGGACCAAGGAGGGGACATTCAGCTGAGATCAGGGACTGGGCACGAGGCCTATTGGACAAACAGTGTCTCTGGAAATTGCAGTCAGAGACCCTCTCGTACCATCTACCAGATTATCCTGTGTCAACTTATCCCACAAGGAGATGATGGAGAAATCTCAGCAGGGAGCTGATTTGGAGCACTGAGACCCTGGGCATAATGGTTTAGAGACCTGAGGCTGAATTCACAGTGGAATAGACTAGGGATCACATGTAATCTCGTGTCCCTCCTGAATGGGAATAACCATATTGAAAACGTGAGGAGCCAGGACAGGAAGTGGTGGTCATTAAAAGGAGAGTTGAGGTGAGTGAGAGTCAATGACAACTCCCACACTGAGAACAAACAGGGTAAACCAAGGAACAGGAAAGATGCACTCAGGGAGGACAAACAGGTGCCATCCTCCATGACAGTAGTGATGAAGGCTCCTAACAGATCTGAAGACTGCCGAGAGGACAAACCACAGAACTTCAGAGCAAGAAAGGCTAAAGATCCTATAACTACAGGATGGATGTGGCTGAGATTGCTTATATTACTTGCTTATAGTATTTTAGTTATATTACTTTTGTTATACTATTTACATTATTTTTTTATTTGGGTTATGATATTTCAATTCTCTTATTTTGGTTATAATAATTTAGTTATAATAGTATGTTATATTTGGTTACAATGCTTCAGTTATTTTGGTTAAAATACT